ATATATTACACATGTATATCATTTGGGTAACTCAAATCAGTAGTATATCAAATGTATATCACATAGATATATCAGTAGTTAGATATATTATAAATCTAATATATATATATTACACATGTATATCATTTGGGTAAAGTTATCATTTTAAAATTGGACCTCCGTTTTTTAAAAAATATTATATTTGAAAAAACTAGATGTAATTGCTATTTTACAAATTTTACTAAATGTTTTTGTCATCTTCCCAACTACCTCTTAAAATATTATAACTTTTAAAATTCCATTATTAATTATATAATTAAAGATAAAGTCATAAATTTTTAGAATAAATTGACAACAATTTTATTCAAACTTTTCCATTGTTTTCTCAATTTTTTCCTAATTCATTTTAACTCAAATAAAGGTATAAAAAAGATAAGAAAAAAGGAAAAATAAAAAGAAAAATTTCGAGGGTGGCGTGAAGAAGGAGGGGAGAGAGAATGAGAGGAATTTGAGGGGATTTGGAGGGGAGAAAGTGAGTGGAATTTGAGAGGGAGGGGTGAAATGACAAAATTGTCATCAAAATAATAAAGAAAATATTAAAATTAAAGAACAAAATAGATAGATAAAGTTTTTCCGTATAGCTCCTTTTATACCTAGTGTGTATATATATATATATATATATATATATATAAATTTATAATTATTTTTAAAAATAAATTGAGAAAACATCTCTATATTGAAACTTCACATTTTTGTCATTAATTTTTTTTTACCGACTAATTTCAATTTATGAATTCATCTAATTATTCATTTTAATATATTTTATATTTTTATTTTTCTAAACATAATTATCTAACCATTAAAATATTATAACTTTCAAAATTCTATTATTAATTATATAATTAAAGATAATGTCACTAATTTTATAATTAATTTTTAGGAATAAACTGACAACAATTTTATTCAAACTTTTCCCATTCGTTTCCTATTTTTTTCTAGTTCATTTTAACTTAAATATAGGTAAAAAAAAAAGATAAGAAAAAAAAGAAAAATTTGGAGGGTGGCATAAAGAGATAAAGGAGAGAATGAGTGGAATTTGAGAGGGAGAGGTGAAATAACAAAATGTCATCAAAATAATAAAGAAAACATTAAAATTAAAGTGCAAAATAGGAAGAGATAAAGTTTCTCCCTATAGTCCCTTTTATATATAGTTTAGATTTAGATATAGATTTCTCTCCCACCCATATCTCTATTCTTGTGTCTCCCCTTCCACTCATTCCCTGTTTACCTAATCGGAATGGAAATGATCGAAATGAAAATCAATCGGAATGAGAATGTTATTCCTTTGATGTTGTTTACCACAAATTTTCTGGAATCGGAATCAGAACTCCTTTGATACTGTTTACTAAAACTGTCTGGAATTGGAATCGGAATAAGATATATGACAATTACTGGTATACCCCCCTCTTCTTTCTAGCTAATCAAAAATACATTGTGGTGCTAATTTTTTTAATTACAAAAATAATTTATTTTATTACTATATTATTGATAGTAAATATTTTTTTACCAAAACAATTTATTTAATATTAATAAATAATAAATAATAAATAATTAAAATAAAATTACATCTACTAAAATACTATTTTATTAGAACCATCATCATTTAATATAAAATATTATTATAATAATATTTAATAGTATACTCCGAGTAGTCCAACACAAGAGTCGAGCCGCTAGATACTACAACTCTTGAGTGAGGCAACGCATGTTCGAAGTCGGAAATCTGGTGCTTAGGAGGGTGATGCTAAACACCAAGAACCTGACTGATGAAGCACTTGGCCCTAATTGGGAGGGCCTGTATCGATTACAGGGATTATCTACCTGAGAACTTATGTGCTAGAAGACCTGCACGACAAGGCCCTGCGGTGTCCTTGGAATGCCGAGCACCTTTGAGTGTACTACTCTTAGAGGAAGGTGCAAGCGAATTTCTTGTTATGTAAACACTGTTTTAATGTTACATGAAATGAGAAGAACGTTATTTATGCTATCTTGATTTTGCATAGTGACCGTAAGACCTAGCATGATGACCACTCTTACAAGTGCTTCACACTCTAGGCCGAGGTAAATGCGTTACCATGACTCCATAAAAGTTAGGCCGAGCAAAGCAAATTAGAACCAACACCATTTCATAAAACACAAAATATTCCAACTAAGAAAAAAAAAAGAGAAACAAGAAGGCCGGCCATGAGCCAAATCTTTTTCATTGATCATCGAGAAACACAAAAATGTACAAGGGACTCAACATCGCACTCTCTTCAAAGCTGCAGAACACCTCTTGTTGGCTTTTTGGCACTTAATCTCGGTTAATTAATTTAATTAATTAATGTTTTGATGATAACAAACACACTTAGTATTAATTGTTTTTGATGTGTAAGAATTATTATTATAGAACATAAATTTATTATGAGTTTCAATAATATTATATGATTTAGTGATAATACATATTTTTTTTATTTGACAATTTTAGTATTTTGAAGTGTCCACAGCATAGAGCTCGAAATAAGGATTTCAACGTCTTTTGAATTACCCAAAATGGAGCTCAAACGAAGAAATTATGGTAGAAAGTAGTCGGAAGGAAAAATACATAAAGTGTATGACGTGGCAGTTGAGTCGTTGCATCCAAAGAATTTGAGCACAACAAATAACAACCGCAATTTATTCCGCTTCGGTAGTGGATAAAACATTCGAATTTTACTTTTTACTAAACTAAGAAACTAAGGAACTACCAAGAAATTGGCTAGTCCCACTAATACTCTTTCGGTCAAGTAAACTACCCGCAAAATCCGCATCAGAATATCCTACCAAATTAAATTCAACATTTCTACGATACCACAAGCCTAAATCAATAGTTCCAAGCAAATATTTAAATATTTAAATATTTAAGAATCATTAGAAACAACATTGCAAGATTCATTAAATACCACATGCATAGATTCCTCAAGTACCAAAGTTCTTTTATTGAAAACTCTATAAGCTTTACTAGTAGAGGAATAACCAAGGAAAATACCAACATCCGTCTTAGAATCAAAATTTCCAAGCTTTTCTTTGTTATTCAAAATAAAACATTTGCAACCAAAAACTTTGAAGTACCCAATATTTGGAATTTTGTTATGCCAAAGTTCATAAGGAGTTTTATCTAAAGGAGGTATAATTAAAACTCTATTTAAAACATAACAGGCGGTGTTAACGACTTCCGCCCAAAAGTAAGAAGGTAAACCATACTCATGCAACATTGACCTAGCAAATTCTTGCAAAGTACGATTTTTCCTTTCAACCACACCGTTTTGTTGAGGAGTTCTTGGAGCGAAGAAATTATGAGAAAATCCATTTTCTTCACAAAAATTTTCAAAAGCATTACTATCAAATTCTCCTCTATGATCACTCCTAATTTTAGAATCAAAAATCATTTTTCATTTTGAAGTCTTTCGGTAAACTAGAAAAACTTTTCAAAGCATCATCCTTATGTTTTAGCATCAAAACCCAAGTAAATCTTGAGAAATCATCAACTATCACAAATGCATAATAGTTCCCTCCAAAACTAGCAATTCTAGAAGGGCCAAATAAGTCCATGTGTAATAGTTGTAGGGGTCTTGTAGTAGAGATCATATTTTTAGATTTGAAAGAAGACTTGGTTTGCTTACCCATTTGACAAGCATCACAAACTTTATCTTTTTCAAATTTAAAYTTGGRAAGACCTCTAACCAAAGAATTCTTGGAAATATTTGAAATTAAGTGCATGCTAGCATGTCCTAGTCTTCTATGTCATAACCAAGAATCATCATGCAAGACCGATAAACATTTATCACTAATAGGACAATCATTCAAATTAATAGTATACACATTTTCATCTCTATTTCCAACAAATAAAACTTTTCTACCACTAGCATTTTCAATGATGCAATTCTTTTTATCAAACACAACTCTAAATCCTTTATCACGCAATTGACTAATACTAAGTAAATCATGCTTTAAACCATCAACCAAAAGTACATCTTCAATCAAAATAGAAGATTCATTACCTATACTACCCTTACCTATTATTTTACCTTTCTTGTTATCACCAAAGGTTACAAAACCTCCATCMTTTTTGGAGAAAGTGACAAACTTGGATTGGTCTCCCGTCATGTGCCTYGAGCAAMCACTATCCAAGTACCACTTACTTTTCTTGGAAGCTTTCAAACAAACCTACAAACACAAAAATTTAAATTTGATCTTTTGGTACCCATACTTGTTTGGGTCCTAGAAGGTTAGCATTAACAAACTTGGGGATCCATTTAATTTTTGCATTTTTATTGAAAGCATAAGATTTAGACAAGTAACAAGAATAAGATTTATGTACATACTTGCCACATGAAAAGCAAACAACATTATGCAGTGAATTATTTTTTACAACAAATTTATGCATCCTACTTTTCTTGGAGAAATTCTTTCTTGGAGCATTGTGAAACTTTGTCCTTTGAGAGAAATTTCTTCTAAAAGAAGTAGTTTGAGCATATTTTAATTTAAAGCACTTGGGTCTTATATGACCTTCAATACCACAATAATGACATATAGGCACAAAGTTAATTTTAGTATGTTTAGATACAACCTTAGGTGCAACAAGCTTAGGCATATTAGGAGATGCTTTAACAAAGATAGTTTTAGAACTTGAGGGAGTAGCGCATTCATTGATATAGCCTAAACCTCTTTTATCACCATAAGGTTTACCTAYTTCAATTATCTTATCCAACCGTTGAGCACCTATTGTTAATTGTTTAATAAAATCTTTAGCCTTATCAAGTTCCACTAAAGCATCTGATTCATTTTTCTTAAGCAATTTAATCAAATTATCCTTTTCACAACTATCATGCTCAAGAAATCAAATTTTATCAAGTAATGCATTTTTCTCATCACAATCAAGAACATGCTTATTACAAGAGATATTTACAACATCATGCTCATTTTTCTTTAAGCAAGCAATATCATCACGTAAAGACTTATTTTCACTAGTTGAGACATTGCATTTCGTTTTAAGCATAACATATTTAGAACCAAGTTTTTCTAAATTATTTTGCATATTCTCAAAAGCTTCAAACAACTCATCATAAGAAAGGGGGTCAAGATTTACCTCATCATCTTGTTCATCCTCTTTGTCACTATGAGCCATGAAGCAAAAGTTGGCCACTTCTTCATTCTCACTTTCACTTCCACTTTCATCACTATCATCCCAAGTAGCCTTCATTGCTTTCTTCTTGGATTTCTTGGATGATTTAAGAAGAGGACAATCGGTTCTAATATGACCCGATTTTTTGCATTCATAATAAATTACCTCATCTTTTTTGCTCTTTTCACTTTTTGACTCTTTTTAGTTGGAGAAATGCTTCTTGAATTGTTTCTTCCTCTTGATGAAATTTTTATACTTACGTGAGAGATATGCCACATCATCTTCATCAAGGGTATTCTCACCTTCGTAGTCAACTTCCAAGGTGATTGCCTTTAATGCTATGCTCTTATCTTTCTTTTTCTTCTCATCCTCCATGTTTTTCTTGATCTTTATCTCATGCGTCATCAATGAACCAATGAGTTCGTCCATGGAGAGAGTCTTGAGATCCTTTGCCTCTTGAATGATGGTGACTTTAGGCTCCCATTTTTTAGGCAATGACCATAAGAGCTTCTTTACCTTCTCAAGATTTGAATATTCTTTTCGAAGTCCTTCTAAAGCGTTGACAATGTTAGTAAATCTAATAAACATATCGAAAATAGCTTTATTTTCATCAATTTTAAACATTTCATATTGATGAACTAACATGTCAATCTTTGTTTCTTTTACTTGACTAGTTCCTTTATGAGTAATTTCTAATTTATCTCATATATCTTTAGCGGTTTTACAAATAGACACCCTATTATACTCAACTTCATTCAAAGCACAAAACAAGCAATTAATAGCTTTAGCATTCGAAGAACATGCTTTCTTTTCAATTATAAACCATTATTCTTTAGGCTTTACAACTTTAACACCATCAACATCTTTTGTTGGAATTTTAAATCCCTCTTCAACAACATCCCACAAATCATAGTCAATAGAAAACAAGAAAAATTTCATTCTATTTTTCCAATAACTATAATTATTACCATTAAAGAAAGGAGGCTTAGTAATAGATTGACTATCGGTAAAAGGGATGAAACCTAAAGTTGCCATAGCTCAAAAACAATTAAGTTTATCAAAGAAGAGCAACCTTGCTCTGATACCAATTGTTGGATCGGTATGGCAATCCTAGGGGGGGGGTGAATAGGGTTTAATTAAAAAAATATAAACTTTTAATAAATGGCCCAATTTAAACAAAAATAATACACTTTTTGAGATATGCAATTTTAACAAAGTAAGATAAAATAAATTCTAAGGCAAACAAAAGAAATTTAAAGCAAACAATAAAATTCTAAGATTAATTGAAAAAAATAAATAAGAGAGAGAGTTAGAGAAATTTGACACCGGGAATTTTTATAGTGGTTCGGCATAACTGTCCTACTCCACTTCCCAAGCACCTCTTGAGTTGTAAATTGAAATTCTGACTCTTTCTACGGTAGGAGTCAAACCGGTACACTCCTCTTCACATGAGCAAAGACAATCTTCTCCACGGTGAGGATCACACCGTTACAATGAGTTGGAAATTTCGAAACACACTTACAAACTCTCAAATAGAGTAAATGTACAAATTTGAGCTCACAAAAATTCAATCCTCACAACAATAAATTTCTCTCACAAATAAGATGAAAAGAAAAATTGAGAACTTGGAGAGATTAACAAGTGAGAATTTTGAAGTTATGGATGATTGAGAAAAGAGAATTGTTATATAATTTTGAAGGAGAAGTTGAGTTTAAATAGAGGGAAGAAAATGGTAAAAAAATCAAATTTAATTTTGGACCATTAGATCTTAATTATTAAAAATGAAGGTTTGAGATAATTTTGAAAAAATAAATTAAGATTATATATAATAATAATAATAATAATAATAATAATATATATATATATATAATGATAAAATAAAATAATACCTATATAATAATAATAATAATATAATAATAATAATAATATAACAATGATGATAAAATAAAATTATATATATATATATATATATATATATATATATAAAATGATGTAACAAGTTTTGAATTATATAATAATAATAATAATAATAAAATAATATATATATGTATATGTGAGAAATGGTAAATAATTTTCAAAACTTTTTTTTAAACACTGACATGTCAGCAATGATGTAAAATTTTTTTTTAATTTTTTTAATTTTAACTTTTGAATTTTTTTAATCTTTTTCTTTTCTTTTTCAATATATATATTTTTTAAAAAGAAGCTTGCCACTTGTCAGCTTACGAACTGTCTACGTCATTTTCTCGGGTATTTTTCCTTCTAATTTGTTTCCATCGTAATTTCTCCATTTGAGCTCCGATTTGGATGATCTAATAGTCGTTGGAATCATTGTAACGAGCTCTACGATGTGGACATTTTAAAAAACTAAAATTATCAATAAATACAAATTAAATTTGTTATCATCAAAACATTAATTAATTAATTAATTAAAATTAATTAATTTGAGATTAAGGCCAAAAGCTAACAGAAAAGAGGTTACGGTATTATGCAAATGACAACTTTACCAAAGAGGAATGATGAAAGCTTATGACAAGAAAGTGCGCCTAAGAAGGTTTAGAGAGGGAGATTTGGTTCTAAAAAGAATCCTCCCATTGCAGAAAGATCATTGAGGTAAATGAACCTCGAATTATGAAGGATCATTTGTGGTGAAAAAGATTTTCTCTAGGGAATCACTAGTTCTGGCCAACATGGATGGCAACGAGTTTTTAAATCCAGTCAATTCAAATATTGTTCGAAAGTATTATGCATAGTTTCTCGTGTATTCAAAAAATTTCACTTTGATCTCAGTATTTTACTTGAAAATCATTTTGTGTATCCATTCTCTATTATAGCCTACAAATTTGAACAATATCTTTAAGATATGTATCCTTTGTCATAATTGGAAATCTCAAAGTCTGTTCTCCATTCGTTTCTTTCTATTTATGAATGACGGTAGTTGCATACATTCACTTTCTCCACGGTTACTTATTTACTCGAAATCAAACATAGGGGCACAGGAAGCCTAAAGATAAGTATTTTTGTTCTCTAAACCATTGGGCAAATATGACATTATAAAGCTATCAGGGGCAAAGTCTTCATCCCATTTAAGGAATGTTTGATGGCCAAGTCTCAGTATGTTATGTGTTCTCTCGACCCAATTAAAAGGATTTTTAGAAGGAAGCGAAATGTGGTGATCGGGCTATATGAACAATCCCAAGTTTATATTACACAAGTAAGTGATTTCACTCTATTTTTTTTTTCATCCAAGATAAAATTTCCTATTATCATCATGCGTCAAACACATATTTCATACGTAGTTTTATGCATTTAATGCATTTTTCTTGAAGAAGTCTCCAAAAAGCCACAGGGTAGAAAATTTTGTGGCATTTCATTTTTGCTCAAGCAAGCGTGTTTATTTATCTTTGGTTTTTCTGTTGGTTAAATTGAACCCCATTAAAGATCGTGGTCGAAGCCTGTGTCAAGTCAAGTCCGTTGCCTTTTAATTTCCCTGTTGATTAAATTGAACCCGATCAAAGATCGTGGTTGAAGCCTGTGTCAAGCCAGGTCCATTGCCTTTTAATTTCCCATTGGTTAAATCGAATCCAATCAAAGATCGTGGTCGAAGCTTGTGTCAAGCCAGATCCGTCGCACTTTATTTTTTCGTTGATTAATTCGAACCGATCAAAGATTGTGGTCAAGCCTGTCAAGCAAGGTCTGTCATTCTACCATTCTGTAAATAAAAATTACGCATTCCCAATACTTTGTCTTTTGCCTTGGCAAGCTATAGACACCGTATTTGGTTCGGCACTCTTGTGTTAAAATTTTATTATTATTTATTTTATTAAATTTTATTTAATTATTTTGGTAAAAATAACATAAGTTTACTTTATTATTAGTTTTAAAGTAAAATTTTTAATTAAATTAAATTTAAAAGAAATATAGTTTGTTTTAAAAATAATTTGATTTTAATAAATTTGATTTTTATTTAAATAAATTATTTTATTTTAATTATATGAATATTTGGTTTTTCCTCTTTTCCCTCGTCAAAGTCTACTAACGTGGCATTCTATTATTCACAATATTTCCCCCTTTTATCTAGTTTACTCGTTTTAGCATAGGTTACGGTTGTTTTCCTTAGTATTTAAGAGGACAAAGAACACAGAGAATACACAGGGTAGAGAGTAGAGGAAGAGAATTTGGTTTTGTTCCTGATTAGGAAAACCCACGTACCCATTAAAGTTCACATTTTTTTTCTTTTTCTTTTTCTTCCATTCTCTCTCTCCAACCCCACTTTTCCTTCATCTTTATCCTCCTCCTCCATCTCCCACCTCTTCCCCTCTTCTTCTCACTTTAAGTCTACATCTCCGGCAGCCGCACGACCAAATCCTGCGAGTGCGAACGGCCCCAGCACCTCGGCGGCAACACCTCCGACCACGA